AGCATAGTATGTTATCTACTTACATAAGATGATAAAGCATTCCTTTGGGGATCAGAGGCTTCACTCGGACCGTAAGGAAGACATGAGAAGATTTGTTTTGTTTTTTTTTGAGACACAGTCTCACTCTGTTGCCCAGGCTAGAGTGAGTGCCGTGGCGTCAGCCTCGCTCACAGCAACCTCCAACTCCTGGGCTCAAGCGATCCTCCTGCCTCAGCCTCTTCCCGAGTAGCTGGGACTACAGGCACATGTCACCATGCCCGGCTCATTTATTTTTTCTTTCTTTCTTTTTTTTTTTTTTTGAGACACAGTCTCACTCTGTTGCCCAGGCTAGAGTGGTGCCGTGGCTCAGCCTCGCTCACAGCAACCCAACTCCTGGGCTCAAGTCATCCCTGCCTCAGCCCTCCTGAGTAGCTGGGATACAGGTCTGCCCATCGGCTAATTTTTTTCTATATATATTAGTTGACAATTATTTCTTTCTGATTATAGTAGGACGTCTCACTCTCCTTCTCAGGGCTGGTCTTTGAACTCCTGACTCGAGCAATCGCCGCCTCGTGCCTCCCAGAGGCTGGGATGACAAGCATGAGCACACCGCCCGGCCTTTTTCTTTTTTTTTTTCCTATATATTTTAGTTGCCAATTAAATTCTTTCTATTTATAGTAGAGATAGCATCTTGCTCTTGCTGGTCTCGAACTCCTGACCTTGAGGACTTGAGAACTCCTGACCTCCTCCCTGCCTCGGCCTCCAGAGGTGCTAGCATTGCAGGCTGAGCCACCCGACGCCGGCCAGAAGCAAGATTCTTTGTCAGTAAGGTGTAACGGGTTTTCAAGCCCCTGGGTAGGTTGGAGAGGAGGAGGCGGGTGTGAGTACAGAGAACAACTTACGAATCCCATCGCCATTGGAGAATGACAGGTGCAAGGCAGCCTCTGAGTCCCAGGGCATTGGGAACAAGAGGGAAGTGACACAAGGAGATAAGAAGGGGAAAGAAGGAGGTAGACATTTGAAAGGTGGCGGATGGTCCCTCCCCTGCATGGGGACAGCCTGCAGAGCTGGCCGCACTCAGCCTTGGGGTGTGTTCATTCCAGATCGCACGGAGCTGGGGACGCCGCCACAGCTCACAGCACCCCCGGTGGTTTCTGGATGATTAACTCCGCAGCCTGAGCCATTCCAAATGCCTCTATCTCGTCGGAGGGAAAGAAAAATACACCGGGCGTGGAGTGATGCCAGCAAGGGAAGCTGGAACGCTGCTCGGCCTCAGTGCTCGTGACCGAACAGCTTTCCAAAACACTCTTTCTCCTCGCTCCAGATGTTCTCGAGGAGATGCAGATGATCATTTTTTTAATGTTGCAAAGCTGTCAAAGCCCATGCAAGGAGCCCCGCGAATGCGGTCAAGCCCAGCAAGTCCACTGTCTGATGGGCAGGGCCGTGTTGCCTCAGCAAATAATCAGAGACCACCAAGGAAACATCTCTGTGTTCTTATTTTCGGGACAACGGGCATTTTGCGAAGTCTTCATGTTTATCATCTTGAAATTATTTCGTCTTCATAGATGCCAGTGGCGTACAGTACCCGTGCCATTTGCGTGACTGTTGAGACACCGCATGCCCCTGTCGTATTACAGGGTGGCTCCACTCTGCAAATGAGGAGCCCAGGGAACGAGAATGTAAGCAGCTCAACCCAGCTCTCCCCTGCCTGAATAAGGTTCAGGTATAAAAGCCAATATTTCCCCATAGTTTTTTGTTGCTTTTGTTTGTTGTTGTTCTGTTTGTTTGTTTGTTGGTTTTGAGACAGAGTCTCACTTTGTTGCCCAGGCTAGAGTGAGTGCCGTGGGTCAGCCTGCTCACAAACCTCCAACTCCTGGGCTCAGCGATCCTCCTGCCTCAGCCTCCCGAGTAGCTGGGACTACAGGCATGCGCCACCATGCCGGGTATTTGTTTTTCTTGTATTTGGCAATAATTATTCTATTTTTAGTTAGAATGGGTCTCGCTTCTTGCTCGGCTGGCTAGAACTCTGCTCGGCGATCCCTCCGCCTCGGGCTCCCAGATTGCTGGGACTTCAGGTTGACCACCGCGACCGGCTCCCCCATTGTGTTTTTATTCTTTGTTTTCTTTCTGGTGACAATTTTTAAGGTGTTAATGGAATCCAGGATTTCTCGTTCGAATGAGTAATAGCATGTGGGAGTGAGAGATTCTCGGTCATCTCCTGACAGAAAGAAAGTATTGTAGGTCCAGCCAGCCCTGATTTCTTGCTAAGAGTCTTCCTGTCAAAAAGTTGACTGGCCAGGATCGACCTTTGAGATCATTGAAACGGAGACGACAACTAGAAGAAGGCCTTAGAACACTGGCCTATTAAAAAAAAAATCCGATGAGCACAGAGAAGAAGAAGTAACGGACAAGGGTAAAACAGAAAAGGAACAGTTCCTTCATAAATATGCACAAACTTGAGACTCTCAATGCAAAAAGCTAATTGCAGTTTTTATAAACCATTCGTCTAAATGTTGAAAACTCCTTTAGCATTGCACTCGTTTAGGAAGCTATATTAAGATTTGGTACTTTCGGTTCCATCAAAGTATTTTCGGCTCCGTGCAAACATACGCTTAATATGCAGTCTGTTGGAGATGCACAAAACCAGACAGATAAATCCATTACTCGGTTTGTTTTTGGGCTGTTGGTTGTCAGTTAATGACCAATATCGAGACTATTATTGTTAACCGAAGCTCCGTAGCTCGTTTGATTTCTTACGTTCTTCACGTCGAGTCCTTTTCCTGTTTACAGGACGCCCATCCAGCGGTCCCACATGTGAATTGGTTCTCTGTTTCCTGAGGTTCCTCGATGCTGTGAATTTTCTGCAAGACTTTGCTTTGCTTGTCGCTGACTTGACATTTTGAGGGAAGTGCTGGCCGGTATTTCGTAGGTTGCCCCACTTAGCTGAAAGGTCCTGATGTTTTCTCATCGTGAGCACTGGAGTTACGGTTATTTGAGAAGACCACAAAAGATATGAAAGGATGTCACATCCCACCTGTACCAAAATGCTTCTGGACTGTGACGTTGGTCCTTATCACCTGGCCTGTCTTGCTGGTCTCGAACTCCTGACCTTGAGGACTTGAGAACTCCTGACCTCCTCCCTGCCTCGGCCTCCCAGAGTGCTAGCATTGCAGGCGTGAGCCACCACGCCCGGCCAGAAGCAAGATTTCTTTGTCAGTAAGGTGTAACGGGTTTTCAAGCTCCTGGGTAGGTGTTGGGAAGGAGGGAGGCAGGTGTGAGTACAGAGAACGACCTTACGAGATCCCATCGCCATTGGAGAATGACAAGGTGCAAGGCAGCCTCTGAGTCCCAGGGCACTTGGGAACAAGAGGGAAGTGACACAAGGAGATAAAAAGAGGAAAGAAGGAGGTAGGACATTTGAAAGGTGGCGGATGGGTCCTCCCCCCCTGCATGGGGACAGGCCTGCAGAGCTGGCCGCACTCAGCCTGGCGGGTGTGTTCATTCCAGATCGCACGAGCTGGGGAGGCCCCACAGCTCACAGCACCCCCCGTGGTGTCTGGATGATTAACTCCGCAGCCTGAGCCATTCCAAATGCCTCTATCTCGTCGGAGGGAAAGAATAAATACACCGGGCGTGAGTGATGGCCAGCAAGGGAAAGCTGGAACGCTCGCTCGGCCTCAGTGCTCCGTGCACCGAACAGCTTTCCAAAACCACTCTTTCTTCTCGCTCCAGATGTTCTCGAGGAAGATGCAAATGAGCATTTTTTTAATGTTGCAAAGCTGTCAAAGCCCATGCAAGGAGCCCCGCAGAATGCGGTCAAGCCCAGCAAGTCCACTGTCTGATGGGGCAGGTCCGTGTTGCCATCAGCCAAATAATCAGAGACCTCGCAAGGAAACATCCTCTGTGTTCTTACTTTCGGGACAACGGGCATTTTGCAAATGTTCTCATGTTTATCATCTTAAATTATTTCGTTTTCTCATAGATGCCAGTGCGTAAGTACCGTGCCATTGCGTGACTGTTGAGACACCGCATGCCCCCTGTCGTATTTACAGGGTGGCTCCACTCTGCAAATGAGGAGCCCAGGGAACCGAGAATGTAAGCAGACTCACCCAGCCTCTCCCCTGCCTGAATAGGTTCAGGTATAAAAAGCCAATATTTCCCCCATTAGTTTTTTTTTGTTTGTTTATGCGTCTGGTTGAGGATGCACAGAAACAGAAGATAAATCCATTATCGGTTGCTTTTGCATGTTGTTAGTTAAGAACCAATATCGAGACATTATTTGTTAACCGAAGCGTAGCTCGTTAATTCCTTAGTTCTCACGTGATGTCCTTTTCCTGTGTACAGGA